GCCGTTGGAATGAAGCAATGCTTGCAGACTACTGCTGGTCTGTGTGTAGGGATGCTCCAGAAGTGTTTTATAAAAGACAAGCTAAACGACAGCGATCTTACAATGAATCGGATGGACTTAATTGAAATTTGGTGGTACAAACTTCTTTTATTTGTCAAAACACTAAGAATAATTTTTTTTTTATTAATTTTGTACTTAAAATATTCTAAAAGAAACATAACAATATTGTTTTATGTACTTTCACTTTTCACGTATAGTATAACTACTCTTCAAGATTAAGTACTGTCTATCTCAAAAACCAAAGCTAATAAAAATTTTTCATTGTTATTTTCGTTTTTATCACCCCAAAATCAGTAGAAAATGACTAATTTAGTGTAGGAAACATTCAAAAAATATTTTTTTGTTGTGTTGTGATTCACCAAACTCAAACAATTGTTCATGCAATTGCAGTTTCGTAAAAATGTATTATCTTTCCCACCAACCGATTTCCTGGAGTTTTTGAAGGCCACTAGATACTCGTTAGGACAAAAAGAGGATTGCTCCGAATTCTTGGGGTTCTCGTTAAATAATAATAATAATAATCTTTATTTTCTTTTTGACAAACAGAAGTTTGTATAGAATTAGTCTCTTCGTGAGCAAACAAATAACAAAATAAATAATCCTGACCGCTCTGGATTGAATGATTCCGTACAGTCCGTACATTGTTTGTAGATATTTTGCTGGAAAAATCCTCACTTGTTTACTTTATAGTAAATGTTAAAGAGGTAGCAAAAACGTATGTGATTTTCTGTAACTTCAACTAGCGTTTCTCAAAGGTGCGTATTCACCAAAAAAGCGAGCACGAGCGAACACGAGCAAACATACACGAATGCTCGATCATGCTCGCGCGTGCTCGCTTTTTTGGTAAATATGCAGCTCAATATTCCACTTTGATCATTAGCAACCCAGCTAAAGTCCCACTCAACAACTAAAATGAAACTGAATTCACGCTCACCAAAAAAGCGAGCACGAGCGAGCATGAGCGAGTATTCGTGTATGTTCGCTCATGTTCACTCGTGCTCGCTTTTTTGGTGAATACGCACCTTAATATGACTGATAACTAGTCCGTGCACAGCTTATTGTCAAATCATCTGAAAATGGAACTTTTAACGGGTAATGATCAACTGCATTGCCAAACATGCGCCAAACCAAATGACTATTACATGAAAACAAGAATAGCTGAGGCACCAATCAATCTACTAATGACACTAATGATCTCCAAACATGACTCAACGTCTGATGGAATCATCAAACTCTTACGAAAGTTTAAAATAGATGAACACTTCAATCTAGCAGACCACTATAATAATCTTCATGCAATCATTGTTCACTATGGTTGTGGCGTTGAATCTGGTCATTATTACGCATTGATCAAAGACAAAACGGACTGGTTTAAGTTTGACGATAGTCATTTTGTTTTCTGAAAGAGAGGACATTGGCAGATCAAGATCTTCAGATGAAGTGGTGCTGCAGGTTTCTCCGGGTTTTCCTGCAGCTGAAAAAGCAAATGTGCCACTGGAATCAATAAAGTCGCCCCGGAGCGCCAATTGATTTTTGTTGTTTCACACTTTCATGATTTGCATTTATTTCTTTGAATATTTATTATTGATTCTTTGATTATTTATTTCAATGAAAAACTTCCATATGTCGCGAACTTCATGTGTGACACTGTATAAACACTGAATTATACCGATGGAGGAGTAGAAAGCCAAAACCTTCCGTTTTCAAAATGTTTTCTATTCATAATATTAGTTCAGATTTAGATTAAATTGAAATGACTCCTGTTTGATGTACCGTTGGAAACTTTAGGAATTTTCCAATTTCTATGTACTGTCTCTCTCTCTCGAAGGAGATTATTTGAACTATTACGGAAAATTTCATCAATTTTCAGGAACACAGACATCTTCCTTGGAGAAAACTTCTGATGTCGAAACCAGCATGGGCTTGTGGTATTGCTGTAATTGGAAGTCAGTGGGCAGATGCTACACTAATGTTAGGCATTACAAAATACCTGAAATTAGTCTACGGATTTTCCATAGAATATGTAAGTGTGCTATTCTGACTCACAAAATTAATAAGGGTTAAACCCGAAGAGCAACAAGTTTAATCGGTTGAAATTTGTGTGAATCCCTGATTTTCAAAATTATACTAAGTGAATGATTTGCGTTTATAATAGTGAGTAATCATCTGATACGAATACAGATGATTTTATATCAAATTTCCATAAGAGAGCTCTTGTTTTTCCACTGCACAAAAAAATACGATAAAAGAAATTGGAACTCTTTGAGAAAATAATAGGTTTTGATGCAAGATCCAACATGGTTTTCAATTCAATTCAATTCTTTATTTTCCAATCGACAATTTACATTGTATAGAATTAGTCAGAATATACTTATGTCTAAGCACTTATAGCAACATACAAACATGTCTAATCAGATAAAACTTATAGCAACATACAAACATTAAAGATATAAGTGAAAGTTAAAGCACCATACAAATATTTACAGATACAAATATTCTTCAATACTATACAGACATTTCCCAGTTAAATAGTCCCGCAGACTTTTTTTGAAAGTATTAAAAAAATATATATTTCTTATTTCAACTGGTAACTTATTGAAAATTCTGGGTGCCATAGACTGGGGTGATTTCAAAGATACATTAAGTCTATTAAATGGGACGGGTAAATCATTTTTTTGGCGAGTTTCGAAGTGGTGTTTGGTTTTAGATTGGAGTAAGGTATCTCTCTGCTGAAAAGACCATATTGATAGTTCGAAAATCAAAATAGACACCAGCTAGTTCGGCTTGATGTGTTGACAAGAGAACGTAAGACTCGTTTCTGTGCCAAAAAACATCTTTGGAGCATGGAGATAGACTCCAGAAACAGATACCATACCGCAAATGACTATCGATTTGGGCGTTATATAAAGAAATGAGTTGACTCATATGCAGAACTTCCCTAGTAGTTCAGAATTGGTATGATATTGAGTTCATTTTAGATATAAGAATGCGATAGTGATTCTCCCAGTTTAAATGTTGATCTAAATGAAAGCCTAGGAAGGAGATCGAATTATTCTTGGTGGAAATATTTGTGTCATCGATTCCAAACTCAATATCCTCACATCTTTTTTGACGAAGGTGGAACCTCATAGAATTTGTTTTCTCAAAATTGAGGAATAAATGATTAGCGGAGTACCAATCACGCAATTGTTGAAAGACTTCTTGGCATTTTTCCGTCAATAGTACATCTGATTTATCCGAGATAAGAAGTGACGTGTCATCAGCATATAAAGTAAATGACGCTGGTACTGATAGGTGACCCAAGTCATGTATGTAGAATATAAATAGTATTGGTCCCAAAATTGAACCTTGTGGTACACCCAGATCAATACCTCGGATCTCAGAACTTTCAGTGCCAACAGTGACATATTGTTTCCTGAAAGTAAGGAAATCTGATATCCAGTCCAATGGTAATCCTCTAATTCCATAAGTATACAGCTTTGAGATCAGAATAGAATGATTTACGCAGTCGAAGAAGATAAAGATAAGAAGATAAAGTTAATTGAATCTGCATCTCACCAACTATTGAACTATATTTATGCACAAGTGGATAGTAATAACCTGGTTTTGACACTTTTTTATTAATTAAAAGCTTTTATCTAACTTGACTTGTATGTATGTTAACAAATCTTGCAAGTTTAATTTGACCCACTTCCCAGTATCCGATTGACCTAAAATTTTGCATGCTGGTCCAGAACCGATGACAATGCATGTTAATTATAAACGTGACCTGATGCTGCTGCCAGGATCGGCTCCGTATGAGAGATCTCCTCAGCGGTAAATAGCGGGGACACGAAATTTTGTATACGCATTCGTTTATGATAGGCAATTGGTAGGCCCACCATGAAAGAGATGCCACATCCAGGGTTGGCTTCAATAAAAAAAATATATTTCTAGAAAAAAAAATCAAGCTTTTAGCTTCAAATACCTACTTCCCGACTCTAAAAAGAAGACAATAAATGGTGTAGTAGGTTGTAAGAACCCATATTTATTTGCATTGTGAAAAAATATCGTTATCTACCACCCTTTAAGTTCCCAAAGTGAGAGGGTCCATCACGCAATGTGAGCAACAGGCATAAGAAGCATACCATGCCTCTTATGCCTGTTGCACGTAATTTGGTGAGATGGGCGTCATTAGCATTGGTCTGCTACCCGTCTAGGAGAAGGAAAACTCCAAAAGCAAACCCGGAACGGTGTTTCGTCAGGCACGAGTAAGCTCTAAGCTGAAAAAAGTGGCGCATCTTTCACCGAAGTACCACCAAAGTCAAGGTGAGGCCGTGCCGAGGACTGAGTGGCATCAAGGTATAAAATGATGTCGTGAACGTACCACCTCAGGGCATCGGAGCGCACCCTGTTGTATACCGGGTGTCCCACATTTTATGTGACAGGCAATATCTGGTTTATTGAAGGAGATACACAAAAATGTTTCATACAAAAGTTTAAGGAGGTCATGAGAGCTATATTTTGATATAATTTTTAAATATACAGGGTGTTTGGTGTAGGTGCTACAGACCAAAATTCCATTTTTTAAAATAGAACGCCCTGTATATCATTACATATTCATATGCTACGTTAAATTCTGATATCATTTCATGTTTGGTTTTTGAAATTCGGTTACGGCGTTGTTGAGTTATTGCACTTTTCCTTAAATATAAAGTTTCAAAAAAACTTATTTACTCGTACACGAATCCAGTCTATATCTTTTATTAAATTGAACTAGACTACTACTGAATACAAACCATTATTCTCACCTCTACGATACGATATCGATATCAGTTGAATATAATATTGAAATTCTTGAGAATGTGACTAACTTGAGGGTGAATTGCTTTATATTG